AGATTCCAGTGCAGGTCTACGAGGATGGTGAGGGGACTGGAGCATCTCCCCTGCGAGGAGAGGCTGAGGGAGCTGGGCTTGTTCAGCCTGAAGAAGAGAAGGCTGCGAGGGGACCTTATAAATGCCTACAAATATCTGCAGGGTGGGGGTCAGGAGGATGGGGCCAAGCTCTTTTCAGTGGTGCCCAGTGACAGGACAAGGGGCAATGGGCACAAACTGAGGCACAGGAAGTTCCATCTGAACATGAGGAAGAACTTCTTCCCTCTGAGGGTGACGGAGCACTGGAACAGGCTGCCCAGGGAGGTTGTGGAGTCTCCTTCTCGGGAGATATTCAAGACCCGCCTGGACAAGGTCCTGTGCAGCCTGCTGTAGGTGACCCTGCTTCGGCAGGGGGGTTGGACTAGATGACCCACAGAGGTCCCTTCCAACCCCTACTATTCTGTGATTCTGTGATTCTGTGAATGTGTACATGCTACAAATACTGTATTACCAAGGATCAGTCAGCTTCTTCTTGGCCAAGTTTTGGGCAAGACCCAGTATTATTCCTTTTCTCTGAGAATTTCTCCCAAACTGAAACTCCAAATGACATATAATAGTTTATTTTAAATCCTGATAAATTTAAATGTGAAACATCGAATTAGATATTCAAGATTCAGGAAGCTCTGGGATTTGCCAGCAATAAACTTCCAGGCAACTCTGGTGTGAGAAATTTAGGTACTGGTGGGAGAAATTTAGGTACTAGTGATAAAATGTGTCATGTCTGATTTCATCTTCTGAAAACATTATCTGAGTCTGGATATGTAGGCACTCTATAATTGGTGGAGCAAGGTGCAAAATCCTAGATACTTAATGCTTTCCATTGTTTGAAGGAAGCCTGGATGACTGGGCACCTAGCGTGACTGATTGTGAAATGTTAGAAGCCCTCAAGGGGTGGCCGCACCAGTGCCGAGTACAGGGGCACGACCCCCCCCCTGCTCCTGCTGGCCACACCATTCCGGATCCAAGCCAGGATGCCGTTGGCCTTCTTGGCCACCTGGGCACACTGCTGGCTCCTGGGCAGCCGGCTGTCGATCAACACCCCCAGGTCCTTTTCCGCCAGGCAGCTCTCCAGCCACTCCTCAAAACTGTAGCGTTGCGTGGGGCTGTTGTGACCCAAGTGCAGGACCCAGCATTTGGCCTTGTTGAATCTCAGTACAGTTGGCCTCTGCCCATCGATCCAGCCTGTCCAGATCCCTCTGCAGAGCCTTCCCACCCTCGAGCAGATCAACACTCCCACCCAACTTGGTGTCATCTGCAAACTTACTGAGGAAGCACTCAATGCCCCCGTCCAGATAATTGATAAAGATATTAAAAAAGACTGGAATATAACCGCAACCCTGGGGAACGACACTTGTGACCAGCTGCCAAATGCATTTAACTCCATTTACCACAACTCTTTGGGCCCAGCCACTCAGCTATTTTTTTACCCAGAGAAGAGTATGCTTTTCCAGGCCATGAGCAGCCAGTTTCTCCAGAAGAATGCTGTGGGAAATGGTGTCAAAGTCTTTACTAAAGTCTAGGTAGGCAACATTACAGCCTTTTCCTTATCACAATGAGGGTAGCATTTCAGGTAAATGGATAGAGATAGATAAAGAACATTACATCTGAACATTGTTGAACAACCCAGGCAATAAGATCATGTTATAGACAGGACAATTTTTCCACAGAACTGAGGAAAACCTCAGCATGAAGAATAGACCTACCCAGTAATCATGGTGTTTAACAAAAAAATCAGATTAATCATGATAGGACAGTATATTAGAGTATATGTCTCTTTTTGATATGCTGAAATCTGTTAAGAACATAGAGAAAGGAAAACAAAAACATGAAGGAAGAGGATAAATATTTCACCGTGTTCATCTTCAGTAGGACAAAAAATTAATGAACGTCATTCTAAGGAAGAGTCCATGAGCATATATACCAGGGAGAAAAAATCTAACAGTGAGAATAGATAAGTCTTATTTCTTTGTTATAAAATAATAGACATTGAGATAGGGGTGAATATATAGGAGTTTCCAACGTGATGTAGCAAGAAAAAGTTTGAGGGTAATGGAGATCTAGATGCAGGAGAAAAGTTGTATACTAATATTTGTCTTTTAGATCAGACTATTCAAACATATGTCAGCAATGTTTTAAATTCAGCTTATTCTGCCTTTGGGTAAAGGAGCGATCTAATGATGCCTTAATTTCCACCCCAGTTCTTTTTCCTATCATTCCAAGGTTCTGGGTTATGATGTCATCTTAACATCATGTCTTTTAATATCAGAAGATTGCCAGAAAAATTTGTTCCAAAAGTCAGCTTTCAATGATGTAATAATTGTCCATAGCCAATCCTTCTACCTATTATCCATCACTAAGAGATTGATTTATACTGCGTGGGTAAAGAAATTTTCAGTCTTCAGTAGTTTTCAAACCCACAGGATGAAATGTCGAAGGAAGCACCCTTTTATTTTAAACTTTATCTCACTATACTTCTCCGAAATGTTTTAAATCTTCTTATGTCATTGGCCTCAGAATGTGTTTTTTTCCATTCCTATTCTTGTGCCTTTGTAAGCTCTCAGAAACATCAGATAGTCTAGCATCAAAACTGGTATGGACAGTGATTTTGGTTTGCACTAGTGACTACAGCAGCTGGATGTCATTTGACACTCTGGCTCCATTCTGAGTTGATTATAAAATCTGTAAAAACACAATGCTTTCTGTCCTTTCTAGATCATGAAGACAGTCTAGCAAGGGCTGACCTCAACTTTTATGTTCACATTCAATATTTTTTTTTTAAACTCAGTGAAATAGAACAATCAATAGTTTTTCTTCCTTCAGTGAAGTTATTTAAATTTTGGATTAGGATTAATTTAAAAACATTCCTGAGGTTTCAGACCCTAGTCAGTTATAAATTAGAGTTTCAAGAACCTGTCAATGCATGTGCTATTCACTCCTACACAGTATTAAGTAACTATGTCAAGTCATTCAAACAAAAGAATAAGCCTAGAAGTTTGTTTCACTTATTCACATAAATACACTAAATGTTTGAGAGCGGAGCACTGATGCCAGGGTGTGAGGCTTATTTTTAATATGCAGGCTTATCTGTTTTAAAAGAAAGACCTTGCACAACTCCCAAATGCTGCTTTTGCTGGAAGATAAATAGCCTAGTGACACTTATGGAATATCCTACACTGCTTTACATCAATAAAAGTTGCTATCATAGGTGTGCGGCTGGGGGGGAGCTGAGGGCCCGGTGTTGTCCCGCAGCCCGATCGTGCGGCAGATCCGTCAGGACTGTGCGGAGCCGTTCGCCGCCTTCGAGCAGTGCCTGAAGGAGAACCAGGCCTCCGTCGTGAACTGCAGCGAGCACGTCAACGCCTTCCTGCTCTGCGCTGACCGGGTGAAGCTCTCCACGTGAGGTGAGGGATGCTGAGCGGCGGCGTTTGCCCTCTAGACCTGTGGTCCGGAGCCTTCCTGCTCCTGCTCTCCACGGCTGCTCGGGAGCTGCTCCTTGAAACAGCTGGAGTGGCACAGTACAGCCCAGAGTGCACACCCACCCGTGGTTTCGCCCCCCTCCACCTTTCCTACTTGCGTCTGTGAATTCAGACCTCGCCTCCCTTCCTATCTCAGGAAAATACAGAGCGCGGCTGGGAAGTTTTATCCAACTAAAAGCGTAATTCAGTGGCGTGGAGTGTCAGGGGATGGAAGCGGTGTGTGCATGGCTTGTTACAGGACAAGGGACAACGGGCACAAACTGGGGCAGAGGAAGCTCCAGCAGAAGCTCCAGCTGAAGATGAGGAAGAACTTCTTCCCTCTGAGGGTGACGGAGCCCTGGCCCAGGCTGCCCAGGGAGGCTGTGGAGTCTCCTTCTCTGGAGATATTCCAGCCCCGCCTGGCCGCGGTGCTGTGCCCCCTGCTCTGGGTGACCCTGCTTGGGCAGGGGGCTGGGCTGGGTGACCCACAGAAGGCCCTGCCAACCCCTGCCATGCTGGGACTCTGGGATTCTGTGACAGCGGATTTCTCCAAATGTGCCGGTCCTTCTCAGTGTCGGGCTAAGCTGAGACCCTGTGGCAAATGGCTCTGGGATGAAAGCGGCCTTGTTGAGCTGAAGTCAGGGTTTTTGTCCGGATCTAGTTGTCAGTTCTGTAGAGTAATTACACAGAATGATTTTGTTGGGGTAGGTCAGCTTGCAGTGCCCTGCTAAAGATTTTGTAAACGTCTACGGAGCAACATTAAAGTAAATAACGTGTTACTGAGCACGTAGAAATCACCCAAATGTGATGCACTCGCATACCCTGACGTGGTAATCTGCTGTGCCTCCTAACTGGGGTGCTGCACACGCACGGAGCCTACCTGATGCTTTAATTTCTGCTGGTTTTTTTTCACAGGGGAGCCTGGGAATTAAAATTCGTCTTCAAGAGCGAATGAAAAGTCTTTCGGTACTCTGGAATATCGTTCCAATGCTTGGTTGGGTTGGTTTTTTCCCCCTCTGAAAAATGAAGTGCAGCCCTGCCGTGTGGTTCTCTTGGTCCTGGTCACGCTACGCTTGCCTTCAGCAGAGAGCTGGACGCTGAGCGGGTTGTCGGAGCGTTCCTGATCCGTCGGCACTCGCGTGCTGATCACGCTGGGTTTTGTCTGCTGAGTTGCCTCTAAAAACTCGACGAGTAAATAAATCACAGAACTGTGTCGAAGCGGCGCCAGAGGATCAGCAGCAACCTGCAGATGTGCTTGAAGAAGAACCGAACGCTGAAACCAGCCCTTCCCTCTTTTTCTGCAATCTATTCTTTGACAGTTCCTTTGATAATTAAGCACAATATTTTCCATCGTCCCAATAAAAAAAACACCCCACTTTTCAAGACCCAAAGCCGCTTCTGGCTTTTCCCACTGAAGACAGAAGCTGCTCTCTGAGCTGGACCCGCTACGGGGACGTTTCCTTGATTATAATGTCCTGGCTTGACCCACGTGGACACATCCCATGCAGCTCCCGATTTTGGGGGTGCCGTGAGGGGCTGTAGCCCCAGGCCTTCTGCTGGTTTAGAACAGCAGAGGGAGTGTTCCTGCCAGCAGAGGTGGCAGAAAAACTGCAGGTTTCGGAGTGCTGACTGCTCTGTCAGCGGCGCAACAGGGATCTTCCAGTGCGGGGGGCTGGGGGGCACCTCTGTTGTTCTCCCACGGGGGAACAAAGAGCCCAGGTCTAAGAAGAGGTTGTTTCTGGGCTGTAACTAGTGGAAAAAAAAATATTAAAACAATACAAGAACCAGTAGATGGTCAAATGAGGAGCGGATTGAGAGCTGGGGCTCGTGAGATCTGGGAGCGCGTCTGCGGAGGGAGAGCTTTGGGTCTGCTCCAGGGTCCTGCGTCTGAAAATCGCTGTAGGCCAGTTCAGTGCTCGCTCTGTTAGGTGAGGACTGAAAACCTCTCCCAGCAAAAGTTAAAACCTTGGAAAGTCCTTTGGGGTACTCGAGAGCGGGTTCGAGGAGGGAGAAATGAGCTGCTACGACCTAGTTACACGAAGGCAGCTTCAGAGGAGCAGCTTTGCTGCTGTCCGGGGTAGGAACTTGGTCTTCCGGAAGAGTTACGGGGAACCAGACCCCAAAATTTTCCAGGGGTGCGCAGGGAGCAGCTGACAGGCGGAGAACTGTTGTGTGCAGAGCCTTGCTCTGAAGCCACAGCACAGCTTTGCTGTGTTTGTGAGGGTTTTTTGTACCTCCACAAGAGGGGGAGGCGTGGACCGGGGAAACTTGGCTTTGACCTGGTTCCCAGGGGTTCGTACCCCCTTCCTGGGACGCGTTAATCCTTCTCCGTGTTTCAGCCAGGCGTGAGTCCAAGCGTTCGCCGCTGAGCCCGTGGTGGTTGGCAAACATCGCTCGGCATTTTAACTCCTTTGGGGAGAGGGACAGCAGATTTCGGGTGATCTGTTCCAGCTTCTGGCAGAGCCCGAACCACACAGCTGGCCTGCGGCGTTGGTTGTCGTCCGTCTCACAGAGGCGGCTGCGTTTCAACAGCGATGGGAACGTAGGAAGGTGCTGGGGTCATGACTAAAAAACATAGGTAGAAAACTCTTTTGTTTCCTTTTATCAAATGCCATGTTTGAAACGTAAAGAGCCGGTTTATCTCCCGGCAGAAAAGTTGGGAGAAAAAAAGTGACGGTAGCTTTGCTTCGTGATGAATTTAGAGAGGGGGCAAGTGCTCCCAGAAAAGGAGGAGAAATCTATTTTCAGTGAGTTTTCTGAGTTTTATTTATACCAGGCAGCACCCCGGTAGTCATAAATGCCTGTGGTGTGAATAGCTTTATTAAGGATGCCGTTATACGGGAGCGAAGGTGCTTTACATGTTGTTGACATTGTATTGAAATGTCAGCCTGTCAGCAGAAAAGCCATTTTTCATTATGTTTAAGGTGCCCTGGGCCCCCTCTTAAGCCCGGTTATGCCTCCTCCTCCTCAGGAGCCTGAGCTGCTCTATTATTACTTGCTCTTACCCATTAACCGCTGAGCTGCCAGGCACTTGCTGTTGTCATCGACGAGCCAAACTCTCACAGGGTTCGGTTAATTTGTTACTAGGGAGAGGGGGGAGAGGAAGATGCTGCTCCGTCCTGTTTCCGTGCGCAATGGAGAAGAGAAATGATTTCTGAGACGGTATTAGGCAGCTGCAAGTTTTATTCTGAGTAAAGAATGTCCTTGTACATCTTTC